TTTATTCCTTTTACTGTGGTTACTCGACATTCAAGAGCAAGTTTCAGAGTCTCTTCTGACATCCATTTTGGTGTTTTCTTTTTTTCCTATCTTTTTATTGACCTCTTGCTTTCTTTATGTATGATGTCCTTGATGTCATTCCACAGCTCTTCTTGTCTTCCATCATTAGTGTTCAATGCATCAAATCCATTCTTGAGATGATCTCTAAATTCAGGTGGGATATACCCAAGGTCGTACTTTTGCCCTCGTGGACTTGTTCTAATTTTCTTCAGGTTCAACTTGAACTTGCATATGAGCAATTGATGGTCTGTTTGGCAGCTGGCCCCTGGCCTTGTTCTGACTGATGATACAGAGCTTTTCCATTGTCTCTTTCCACAGATGTAGTTGATTTGATTCCTGTGTTTTCCGTCTGGCGAGGTCCACGTGTGTAGTAATCGTTCATGTTCTTGAAAAAAGGTATTTTCAATGAAGAAGTTGTTGGTCATGTGAAATTCTATCATGCAATCTCCAGCATCATTTCTATCAAAAGGCCATATTTTCCCACTACAAATCCTTCGTTTCCAACTTTCACATTCAATAACCGGTAATTATCAATGCATCTTAATTGCACATTTGTTCAATTTCAGACTGCAGAAGTTGATAAAAAACCTTAATTTCTTCATCTCTGGCCTTAGTGGTTGGTGCATAAATTTGAATAACGGTCATATTAACTAATCTTCCTTGTAGGAGTATGGATATTATGCTATCACTGACAGCGTGGTAGTTCAGGATAGATCTTGAAATGTTCTTTTTGACGGTGAAGGCAACGCCATTCCTCTTCAATTTGTCATTCTAGGCATAGTAGACCATATAATTTAATCAAAATGGCCAGTACCAGTACATTTCAGCCCACTAATGTCTAGTATGTCAATGTTTATATGTTCCTTTAATTTTTGACAACTTTCAATTTTCTTAGATTCATACTTCGTCCATTCCACGTTCCTATTATTAATGGATGTTTGCAAGCTGTTTCTCCTCATTTTGAGTTGTGCCACGTCAGCAAATGAAGGTCCTGAAAGCTTGACTCCATCCACGTCATTAAGGTCGACACTACTTTGAGGAGGCAGCTCTTCCCTCGTCATATTTTGAGTGCCTTCCAACCTGGAGGGACTCATCTTCCGGCACTATATCAGACAGTGTTCCGCTGCTATTCGTAAGTTTTTCACTGGCTAATTTTTTTCAGAAGTAGACCAGCAAGTCCTTCTTCCTAGTCTGTCCTAGTCTGGAAACTCAGCTGAAAGCTGTCCACCATGGGTGACCCTGCTGGTATTTGAATACAAGTGGCATAGCTTTCAGCATCACAGCAACATGTAAGCCACCACAGTATGACAAATTGAGAGACGCATGACAGACCAGTAGAGAGAGAAACTCATCTCCCCAATAATGTCGTGGATCTTTTCTGAGCTCATGATTTTTTCTATACACTGTCAGAGCCCCCAGTGCAGCCCTAGTATCAAATTGACCTCCTAATATCATTGTGGAATTTCACGTTAAATATTGGTTCTCAGTAAATGATCATTGAATAGTGTAATTATGGCTATTAGTAGCTGTCTTCTACATATTAGCCTCTCCATAGTGATTTCTAACAAATTATGTACAGAACCTAGGTGTTCTAGGATCCCTGAGGATCAGCAGTAAGGGGCTGACTGTGGGAAAACATTAAAAAATATGAGAAGCATGTATCAACCATAGACGGGTACCTAAAAAAGTATTCATATAAAAACCAAAAATAGAATTTAGTGTGTAAAAGGTGACAAAAGTGACCACTAGTATCAGGATGGTATGGGTGGCTCTGGTGTCAGGGGGACGTTTGTGGGAATGGTTGGAGGTATGAATACGCTGCACTCTCTGGTGATGTCTTCACAGAAGCTCCATGGAGCCACTGGCCTAGACCATGAGGCTAATAAATATGGCATTGGGTATGGGCCACATGGTGACAATGCTTGCACGGTGACCCAAGGACGAGCAAAACCACCTGTGTTGGGTGTATCATTGTACTTGTCCTTTGGACCAGTGATTTTCACAGGAATATAGATACTTAACAAGACACTGAACATCCAGCAGGTGCAACAAGAAGGACCAATGATCTTGGAGGCTCCTCCTCTGAGTGCCCTCCACCTTTCTCTCATGGGGTTGAGAGTGATAGCCTAATATGTGCTTAGGACACAGGTGGAACACAGGGTGGTGTTTTGAGCCACTCAATTGATAAAATAGACAAGTTTATACCCATGATTGGACAAGGGATTCTTCACATCAAAAACAGTCATCATGTGGGAAATCCCAGTTGAGAGAAGAATCAAGGAGTTGGTCACAGCTATATGGGCAAGAATCACATATGTGTACTTCAGCCTGTGGTCAAGCAAGATTGGAGAGACAGTAGGGAAGCAGAGAATGACACTGGCCACAGTTCCACCCCTGATCTGAATGATTTTCAGTGTCACTTGCTCACTCTTTCTAAAATGTGGTTCTTAAATGACATGCACTGAAAGGTAGAACTGTGGGTGAGGAGATCATCCATCTTCCTACTTGTCCAACCTCTGGGAAATATTCTCAGCTTTTTCTTCTCCTGAAAAGGAAGACAAATTCATACTCCACAGGAGGACTGCATCTGAAGAACATATCACTGACACTAATTTCACGATTATTATTTTCTATTTATTATTATTTACTTTATATTTGACTCTTGACTAAGATTAAGGTCCATGAACTCAGGAGCAATGTCTTTCTTGTTCATTTATTTGTTTGTCACCTATTTCGGTTAACAACTAGTGAGTCAATGAATAAGTGAAGGAGTCAAAGACAACTGTTAAGAGTCATGGATCTTGATGCCCATCACTATATATTAACCTAGGAAAATGAGATGGAAAAAGGCAACTCCATGTTCAATTTTGAAGTTTCTGTAATTTTAATACAATTGCAACATAATCAAGTGTCATCTTTTGAGAACTCATGACATTCTTCAGCAGTGTGACTTGATATAAAATACCTCCTAAAAAAAATCAGTAGCCTTCTGAATACCTAGAGGAGCAGATCTATACTCAGTGTAGGAAATATCCCAGTGGTCAAAACTATCTACATCTCAGTAATTCCCCAGATCCTAACTTGTTGAGAAATTCGGTCTAGGCAGATTTTGAAAATGAAAAAATGTGTATTGTGTTGCAGCACATATACTATCTGTATATATATGTGTGTACATATATATGTGTGTGTGTGTATATATATATGTATATATATGTGTGTATGTTTGTATATATATGTGTATATATACATATGTGTGTGTGTGTATATATATATATATATATATAGAGAGAGAGAGAGAGAAAGAGAGAGAGAGAGAGAAAAAGAGAGAGAGAGAGAGAGAAAAAGAGAGAGAGCGAGAGAGAGAGAGACAGCCAGGGTGGGGCAAACAGTTAAGTGCTGGGCTACTAACCGAAAATTTGGAAGTTTGAACCCATCCAAAGGGGCCAACCATGAAAACCCTATGGAGCAGTTCTACTCTGAAACACATGGGGTTTCTATGACTTGGAAGTGACTCCATAGCAAGTAGTTTTTGGAATCCCCGGGTAGTGTAAAGGGTTAACATGCTGGACCACTAACCAAAAGTTTGGCTGTTCGAACCCACTCAGAGGTGCCTCAGAAGACAGGCCTAGCGATCTACTTATGAAAGGTCACAATGTTGAAAATACTGTGGAGAAGTTCACTATGCCCACATGGGATTGCCGTGAGTTGGAACTGGCTCAATTGCAACTTGTTTTGTTTTTATAGAAGGATGGCATCAAAATTCTTTAAACTTAACAGCTGGTGAAGTATCATTGTTGCCCTTGACAACCACAGGTCCAAAAAATGTTAGGTAATCTATGTAGTGATTGTGAAGTTTTCTGTTCATCTCTGGATATTGTACTGGCTTTGGCATTTATGTATCTGTCTCTAGTTTAAACACGTACATTTTTACTGTGCTGCAACACGACAATGGACTCAAACATAGCTTTGGTTGTGAGGATGGCGCAGGATCAGGCAGTGTTTCATTCTGTTGTACATAATGTCTCTATGAATCAAAACCTAACATGGCACTTAACAGAAATAATACCTTCTACATTGTTGTTATCACTTTGAAAAATCACATAATGCGTTTAGTCACATACAAATGTGTTATTTAATTCATAACCTCCATAGGAAGATATGTGGATCCTACAGAAATAAGAAAAAAAATAGAAAATAAATCTGGGACCTTAGAACACAGTTATAAAATCGAAACCAAATCCATGCCTTTGAGTCCATTCTGACTCATGGCAACCCCACTTGTTATAGTGTATTACTGAGCTCCATAGGGTTTTCTCGGCTGTAATCGTTACAGAAGCAGATTGCCAGGTCTTTCTTCCACAGTACCAATGAATGGTTTCAGAGAATATAAACCATTTGGCCCACTCAGGGACCTTGAACATAGCCATAAGAACAGAAATACACCTTCTCCTCAATTATTGACTATTTATCCATATTTCACATTTACGACAGTAGTAAAGAATCTACTACCCACTAATTTGCACATTAACGAAGTAGATCTTAGAGCAACAAACACCAAGGTGCAAGGTGAGAGTAACGCTGGCTGTGATGATTAAGGTTATGTGTCAGTCTGGCTCAGCTGTGAATTTCAGTGGTTTGACAGTTACATAATGATGTAATTTGACAGTTATATAATGATGTGGTCATCCTCCATTTTCCCATAATGCCAATTTCACATAATGATCTGGTCTTTGGAACCTAACCCTGTCAATAAGTGATGAGAGGGTGTATAAACATAATACCAAAAGAGGACCACCATGACAATATTTAGTATTAAAATGACGTTTATTCTCTAATTAAATTGTGTTCATGATTTATAAAATGTTGCCTATTTCCATACTATTATGTTGTCCAATGTATATCCAGTAGAAAAGATCAGAGCTATTGGTACAAAGTCCTTCTCAATCAACGTTTTTTGTCATCTTGGTGCATTGGTCTACACTGGGTTTTGATAGAAGGCTTGGAACCATCACAGAACAGATCTTTAGGGAGCTGTCATCACCACTCCTTGGAACTGAAGGACAAAAGAAAGGGCGCAGGGGCTCAGATGCAGAAATCTTGGTGAATGTGAAGATATGGGATCCATCACTAATGTTACAAAAGGAAAGGTTTCCAATGTCCAAATCCAGGAAAATGCCCACTCGGAGTAATGGCATGCTCACCATGAGGGGTGTTGGAGGCATCGTGCTGGCTGAGAAGTACCAGCCCTTCCTCCAACTCAGAATCCAGAACCCAAGACAGGCAGACATGTAGACCATCCCTTGTCGGTTAATGGATTCTCTGCAAATGCCCAGATCCCATTCTTGGCTTGTTCCCACATCTACCTCCCAGTAATGGCGGCCAGAGGTGAACCAAGAGGAGCCCAGGACGCAGATAGATTGGCTGAATCTCTCAGCGTGTTCTTTCAGCTTCTGTTTGACATGCCCACATCGGACACTCCTCAGGTCCTCAGAAATGATGAGGAGGTTATTGGCTGTGTCCACATCAAAGGTCATGTCCACTGTGGAGAGAAAAATAAGAAGCTCAGGAAATACACATACTATACACACTTTCTATTATTCACTTCTATAGAAGCCCAACTATTGCATTCACTAAAGCTTCTTTAATTCCGCTCTCCTTCCCTAAATGAAACATTTTCAGGGAAAACTCCTTGTTCTTCCTGATAAAGTCAAATGATCATATGTAGGTTTTGCATCAACACATGTCTCTTATTCATACTAGGAATTCCATTGACAGTAATTTATGTGTAGATTCGATGAAAGGTTTTTCTTCACTTTAATGTGTAAGATACATACAAGCCAAGATCATGCCTATGGTTTAATCCTCAAATTTAATATACATATGAATATAAATCTTTCACAATCATAGTCATCTTATAATTTGAATGAAGGAACAATATTTTACTTATTGCAGAAAAATACTAAAAACTTTGTTTTTTCCTTTGCCATTCCCTTCCCTATTTATTCTTGTTGGCTAGGCAGAACATTCCATATCTTATAGACATTAAGATAGAGGGAGGGTTTCCCTTGGATACGAGGAGAGATATGCTTGGATCTTGGTAGCAATTTAGACTCAGAATTTTCACTGGGTGGCATAAAATGGTTAAGGTCTCAACTACTAACTGAAGTTGATGGTTTGAATGCACCCAGAGGTGCCTCGCAAGAGAGGGCTGGCTATCAGCTTCAGAAAGGTCACAACCATTGAAAACCTTGTGGAGTTACCATGAGTCTGAACTGACTCAATGGAAAGTGGTCTGGTTTGGTTGTTTAGTATTCAGAGAGGCAGGGAAACTTGGAGAAAAATGACTTAGTGGATTTCCAACATCTCCAAAAAAAACAAAACAAAACAAAACAAACCACTCTTGATTCTGACTAATGGCAAACCTTCTGAAAAAAATTAGCCAGTGAAACTCTTATGAATAGAAGAGGAACAATGTCTGATACAATGCTGGAAGATGAGTCCCTCTGATTGGAAGGCACTTAAAATACAACTGGGAAAGAGCTGCCTCCTCAAAGTAGAGTTGACCTTAATGACATGGATGGAGTCAAGCTTTCAAGACCTTCATTTGCTGATGTGGCATGACTCAAAATAAGAAACAGCTGTAAATAGCCATTAATAATCAGAATGTGGAATGTATGAAGCATGAATCTCGGAAAATGGAAATCGTTTAAAATGAGACAGAACACAAACATCGATATCCTAGGTATTAGTGAGCTGAAATGGACTGGTATTGGCAATTTTGTATCAGATAAACGTATGTTCTACCATGCCGAGAATGACAAATTGAAGGGGAATGGCATTGCATTCATCATCAAAAAGAACATTTCAAGATCTATCCTGAAGTACAACACTGTCAGTCATAGGATAATATCCATACGCCTACAAGGAAGACCAGTTAATACGATTATTATTCGAATTTACATACCAACCACTAAGACCAAAGATGAAGAAATTGAAGATTTTTACAATTCCTACAGTCTGAAATTGATCAAACATGAAATCACAAGGCATTGATAATTACTGGTGGTTGGAATGCGAAAATTGGAAACAAAAAAAAAGTATAGATAGTTGGAAAATATGGCCATGGTGATAGAAAAGTTGCTGGAGGTTGCATGATAGAATTTTGCAAGACCAATGACTTCTTCATTGCTAATACCTTTTATCAACAACATAAAACCCAACTATACATGTGGACCTCACCAGATGGAGTACACCAGAATCAAATCAACTACATCTGTGGAAAGAGACAATGCAAAAGCTCAGTATCATCAGTCAGAACAAGGCCAGGGGTCAACTGTGGAACAGACCATTAATTGCTCATATGCAAGTTCAATTTGATGCTGAAGAAAAGCAGAACAAGTTCATGAGAGTTAAAGTACAACCCTGAGTATATCCTACCCGAATTTAGAGATCATCTCAAGAATAAATTTGACACTTTGAACACTAATGATGGAAGACCAGACCAGCTGTGGAATGACATTAAGGACATCATACATGAAGAAAGAAAGAGGTCATTAAAAAGACAGGAAAGAAACAAAAGACCAAAATGGATTTCAGAAGAGACTTGAAACTTGCTCTTGAACATCGAGTAGCTAACGCGAATGGGAGAAGTGATGAAGTCAAAGAGCTGAACAGAAGATTTCAAAGGGCAGCTCAAGAAGACAAAGTATTATAATGAAATGTGCAAAGAACTGGAGTTAGAGAACCAAAATGCAAGAATGTGCTCGGCATCTCTTAAGCTGAAAGAACTGAAGAAAAAATTCAAGCCTCAAATTGGCAATAGTGAAGATTCTATGGGTAAAATACTGAACGATGCAGGAAGCATCAAAACGAGATGGAAGGAATACACAAAGTCACTGTACCAAAAAGAACTGGTCAACATTCAATCATTTCAGGAGGTAGCATATGATCAGGAACCAATGACACTGAATGAAGAAGTTCAAGCTGCACTGAACATCAGTGAAAAACAAGACTCCAGGAATTAACGGAATACTAATTAAGATGTTCCAACAAACAGATGCAGCACTGGAAGTGGTCACCAGTCTATGCCAAGAAATTTGAAAGACAGCTACCTGGCCAACTGACTGGAAGAGATCCATATTTATGCCTATTCCAATGAAAGGTGATCCAATCGAATGTGGAAATTATCGAACGTATCATTAATATCACCAGCAAGTAAAATTTGGCTGAAGATCATTCAAAAGCAGTTGCAGCAGTGCATCGACGGGGAACTGCCAGAAATTCAAGCCAGATTCAGATGAGAATGTAGAACCGGGGATATCATTGCTGATGTCAGATGGATCCTGGCTGAAAGCAGAGAATACCAGAAAGATGTTGACCTGTGTTTTATTGACTATGCAAAGGCATTCGACTGTGTGGATCATAACAAATTATGGATAACATTGCTAAGAATGGAAATTCCAGAACACTTAATTGTGCTCATTAGGACCCTGTACATAGATCAAGAGGCAGTCTTTCAAACAGAACAAGAGGATACTATGTGGTTTAAAGTCAGGAAAGCTGTCCGTCAGGGTTGTATCCTTTCACTACAATTATTCAGTCTGTATGATGAGCAAATGATCTGAGAATCTGGACTATATGAAGAAGAATTGGGCATAAGTATTGGAGGAAGACTCATTAACAACCTATGCTATACAGATGACACATCTTGCTTGCTGAAAGTGAAGAGGACTCACTGATGAAGATCAAAGACTACAGCCTTCAGTATGAATTACACCTCAACATAAAGAAAACAAAAATCACTAAAATTGGACCAATAAGCAACATCATGATAAATGGAGAAAAGATTAAAGTTGTCAAGGGTGTCATTTTACTTGGATCCGCAATCAATACCGATGGAAGCAGCAGTCAAGAAATCAAATGATGCATTGAACTTGTCAAGTCTGCTACAAAAGACCTCTTTAAAGTGTTGAAAAGCAAAGATGTCACTTTAAGGAGTAAGGTGTGCCTGACCCAAGCCACGGGGTTTTCAGTCGTCTTGTATACATGTGAAAACTGGACAATGAATAATGAAGACAGAAGAATTGATGTCTTTATATTATGGTGCTGGGGAAGAATATCAAGTATACCATGGACTGCCAGAAGAACCAGGCAGTGTTTTGTTCTGTTGTACACAGGGCCGCTATGAGTCAGAACTAACTTGACAGCACCTAACAACAGCAACAACAACAATGGCAAACCCATGTATATCATAGTAGAACTGCTCTATAGGGTTTTCTTGGCTGTAATCTCTATGGAAGCAGATTGCCAGGACTTTCTTCTGTGGCACCACTGGGTGGGTTTGACCCATCAATCTTTAGTAGATGAGGGCATGTCTCTTGCCCCACGCAGAGACCTTTCCAACCTCTCCAAAAACAAAAAAAACAAACAAACCCGTTGCCATCGAGTTGATTCCGATGCATAGCAACTCTGTAGGACAGAGTAGAACTGCCCCATAGGGTTTCCAAGGAGCGGCTGGTGGAGTCAAACTGTCGACTTTTTGGTTAGCAGCCAAGCTCTTAACCACTGCACCACCAGAGCTCCAACCTCTCCAAGTAGACCTAATTGTCAGGATCTGGGCGTAGAGCTACATATCCTAACATGACCTGTGAATGGAGCCATTGGAGCCTCAAAAGAGAACCCTCTTTCTGGACCAAGGACCAATTGCTCCACTCACCTCCCTACGACTTCGCTCAGTGGAAGATGCTGGGGTGTCTGACACCAGGAGAGCTGTCATTGTCTGGGACAGAACTCATCACCCCAAATGAGAGTTTGCAAGGAACAAAAGTAAACTCCCTCACAAAAATACAGTAATTTTTCTCACAACTGATATTGTGGACTGGGATATGTATCAAAGCACACTCATTGTAGTCAAACCTACCTAGGCATTGCTAGTTATATGACCCATTGCACAGACACAGGGAAGAGAGAGAGAATGAGCAACGACCTGGTGCACTAAAGGAGCCTGGATTCCATAATCTGGTGGGTCTGTTCTGGCATCCTGACTTTAGCACCATTATACACGCAGCTAGGTGGTTCTGGGTGGCACGAACAGTTAAGCGCTTGGCTAATCTACCACCAAAAAGGTTAGTGGTTAAAACCTATTCAAAGGTGCATCATTAGAAAGGCCTGGAGGTCTATTCCTAAAAGATCACAGCCATTGAAAGCCCTATGGAACACAGGTCTACTTTAACACACATGGGCATTCATAGTTGGAATCTATTTGAAAGCACCTAAAAACAACAACGCATGCAGCTCGGAGTCCCTTGCTGGCTCAAATTGTTAACCACTTGGCTACAACCTGAAGGGATTGTGGATCAAATCTTCCCAGTGACGCCTAGGAAGAAAGGCCTGGTTAAAGGTCATTCTGAAAGATCATAGTCATTGAAAATCCTTTGGAGTACACTTCTACTCTGAATCATATAGGGTCACCAAAAGACAGAGTCGACTCATTGGCAGTTGGTTTGATGTTTACACACATGAAGCTGACCTCAGATGATTTACTTTAGCCACATACCTTTCTCTAGATGGAATCACAAACATAACCCTTGAAGAAGCTGTGACACGGACTTCCTGTGGCCAAGGTCAGTGTGGGAAGCACAGGTTGCAGTGTTTGGGTCCAGGGGCAGCAAGTAGTCAGAAACCTCCAGGATCAACAGCCGCCTATCCTTTCAGCAATCACATTGATGAATAGATTTCTCCTGGGGCCCAGAGCACCAGGATAAATCCATTCATCACCATGGTTGCTGGCACTCACTATGGATTAGAGTCCCCCAGTTGTCATCAAGTTGATTCTGACTTATGATGACCCCATATGTGTCAGAGTAGAACTGTGTTCCATAGGGTTTTCAATGGCTGTGAGCTTTCAGAAGTAGCTCACCAGGCCTTTCTTCCTGGGCACCTCTGGGTAGATTCAAAGCACCAACCCTTTGTCAGTAGCTGAGCACTTAACCATTCATGCCACCCAGAGACTCCAGTGGATTAGAGTCACCTGGGGGCTTTTGAACCTCACAGATTCCTGGGCCTGGGAGCCAGAGACAGGATCAGACTCACATAGGGCAGGGCTCAGAACAGAAATCCAGTTTCCCACGCCACCTAGTTCTATACACCCAAGATCTGCATTTTAACAAGAGCCTCAGGTCATTTAACGTACATCTGAGTGTGAGAAGCCAGCTGCTGGGCCAGGGCTTCCAAAGAGAAACACAAAGGGAGCCACATGTGTAATTGTATATTTTCTTATAGGCTTACCATAGAAAGTAATAAGAAACAAGTAATAATAATATGGAAAACCTATAATTCACTCCATATATCCAAAATATCACTTAGACACTGTAGCTCTAGGCACATTTCATAGTCAATAGCCACCAACAGATACCAGTACAAACCTAGGGCATGAGCTAAATATTTTATTTTATTAAAAATCTCCAGGTAATTCTACTGTATACTCAGGAGTCACAATAACTGTTGCTGAGGGGTCATAAAAGTTTGAGATGCTAGAATGAAGCTAATGCCCATATTTAGTGGAGAGCCTTTTGCACAGTTGTTTCCTGGGCCATTGGTGAGGAAGGAGAAAGTAGAAAAAATTCCTTACTATCTTTCTTTCTTAGGGCTGCAGTAACAAAAAATAGCACAAGTGAGTGGCTTTAGTGAACAGAAATTTATTTTCTCACAGTTCAGGAGGCTAGAAATCCAAAATTCTGGCCACAAGCTCTAAGGAAAGTTTTCCTCTCTCTCTCAGCTTTGGGAGAAAATTTTTGTCTCAGTTTCTGTTCCTTGGCAATCTCCAGTTTGCCTCTATCTTTCCCCTATCTGTGCTTGCTTGCCTCTGTGCCTGCTCTACTTTATCTCAAAAGTAATTAGGTTTAAGGCACACCCTACACTGATATGGCCTCATTAACCAACAAAGAAAACTCTATTCCAAATGGGATTATATTCACAGGTTAACCAAAACTCACTGCCATCCAGTTGATTACAACTCATAGCAACACAAGCACTTAACCAGTGTACCACCAGGGCTCCTTTCACAAGTATAGGGGTTAGGGTTATGCAATACATATTTTGGGGGGACATAATTCAATCAATGACACTTACCTTGGAATTTGACAATCCTTGGGTTCAGGTATAGGATAGCCCTTAGGTGGGGCTCCAGTTCCTTGATCTTGGACACCAGGTTCCCCAGCTGATAATGTCTCCTGATATCATTCTTCTGGGTGACCACGGGGCAGTTAGGGCACAATACACCCTCCCCATTGGGCTCTGTCTGCAGTGAATTGAGGCAGTGGAGGCAGCAAATGTATCCACATTTCAAGAACACGGGTTTCTCTAAATAGGTCAGACAGACAGGACATCTGCTTGCTTCTCGAAAGCTTTCAGCCATAGCTGCTGCTGGGGGGAAAAAGTACATTACAGTGAAGATTCCGTGAGATGAATGAATTGGTGCTCTTTCATCTTTATATGCATAGAGAGAAATTGTGTTCCTACTGTGTGTAATCTCTAGTACTAGGAAACAAGGACAAAAATACACAGACTCATGGCCCTGATCATCTCAATTTGAAATGCTAGTTGGAACGAAGAACATGATTCATCATCTGAGTTTGAGTCGAGATAGTGTAAAGTTCTCTACCTGCTCTGTCTAAATATGGTGGCCACCAGCCACATGTGGCTGTTGAGTACCTGAAAGGGGCATGTCTTTCTTGAGATGTGCTATGAGTGTAAAATACACACTGTATTTGGAAGATCAAGTAAGAAAAACAGCCTCATTTTTAACAGTTTAAAATTCCATATTCAGATGATAATCTTTTGGATATTGTTTTTTTGACTAGTTTTACTTCTTTAAAAAAAAAATGTCTCTGCTAGAAAATGTATAATTGCACATGTGAGTCATATGATATTTCTATTGGAAAGTGGGTTTTTCATTCAAAGAATCTCCAGCTTCCCCAGCTGATCCAACATGGCTCCAAAAACAACCCATAGCAGGAGCTGAGAGGTTGAATATTAAATGGGAAGACCTCAATTTACCAGTTGTTGAGGTTACGTGCTGTCCAGTAGTTTTCAACTCATAGTGACCCAGAGTGATCGATTAGAACTTCTCTGTAGGGTTTCCTTGGCTGTTATCTTCAGGAAAGCATATAGCCAGGTCTTTCTCCTAAGAAGCTTCTGTTTGGGTTTGAATTACCAATCTTTCCATTAGCAGCTGAGTGCTTAACCATTTTAGCCACCAGAGCTCCTTCCAATTTAAAAGTTGATAAAGTACAATCTGATAGAGTAGATCAATGGAGTCCGTGGTGGCACTAACAATTAAGTACTTGACTACTAACTGAAAGGTTGGCAGTTGGAGTCCACCCAGAATTGCCTGTGACAAAAGTTCTGGTGATCTACTTGTGAAACATCACAGCCATTGAAAACCCTATGGAGCACAGCTCTACTCTGTGAAATGGTTGTTTTTTTTTTTTATTTTGGATGTCTAGTCCTATTATTTTTTTTTATTGTACTTCAGGTGAAGGCTTACAGAACAGATAGTTTCTCATGAAACAGAAGTACACATGCTATTTTATGATATTAGTTAACAACCCCATAACATATCAACCCTTTAACTTCTCAACCTCTTTTTTTTGGTGAAAATACACATAGCCAAAGATAGACCATTTCAAAAATTTCTACATGCACTGTTCAGTGACATTGACTATGCTCTTCCAATTGTGCTGTTATTCTCACTTAAGATGAAGGCTTACAGAACAAAATAGTTTCTCATTTAACAGTTACTACAAATGTTGCCCTATGACAATGGTTAACAATCTCACAACACATCAACAATATCCTTACTCAGCCTTGGGTTCCCTATCACCAGCTTCCTTGTCCCCTTCTGCTTCCTGGCCCTTGTCACTGGACTCCTGTACCTCGTTAGTCTCATTTGGTTTTATGGGGCTGTCCACTCCCAGGCTGAACAGTGAACCTCGGAGGTAACTTCACCACTGAGCTAAAAGGGTGTCTGGGGGCCATACTCTCAGGATTCTCCAGCCTCCTTTAGGCCAGTAAATCTGGTCTTTTTTCTGTGAGTTAGAATTATGTTCTACATCCTTCTCCAGCTCTGTCCAGAACCCTCTGTTGTGATCATGGTCAGAGCAGTCAGTGGTGGTAGCCGGGCATCATGTAGCTGTACTGGACTCAGTGCAGTGGAGGCCTTGGTAGCTGTGGACAATTAGTCCTTCGAACTAATCTTTTCCTTGTATCTTGTTCTCTTCATTCTCCCTTGCTGCCGAAGGGATGAGGCCAGTGGAGTATCTTAGATGGCTGCTCACAGGCTTTTAAGACCCCAGACACTACTCACCAAGGTAGAATGTAGAGCATTGTCTTTATAAGCTGTGTCATGCCAATTGAGCTAGATGTTCCCCGAGACCATGGTCCCCAGAGCCCTCCGCCCAGCAATTCAGGGCGTTTGGATGTGTCTATGGGGCTTCCATGACCTTTCCTTGTACAAGTTGTGCTAGTTTCTCCTGTATTGTGTACTGTCTCACCCTTCACCCAAGATACCACTTATCTATTATCTATTTAGTATTCCCACCCCCCTCCCATCCCTGGTAACCAACAAAGATTGTTACATTTTGTGTGTGAACGTTTTTTTGTTTTTTTTTTAATTAAGTCAAGATATGATTTGATGAAGGACATTGAAAACTGTCATTCCTCATCCCGGATGTTGAAAATCTAAGTTCCCCCAAGTGTTCCTAGAGCAGAGGGCCCAGTGTTCCCAAGTGCACACACTTGGCCTGGCATGGAGTTGGCTTCAGACAACCCTTGCTGAATTAACAAATTACTCCTTTTCTCAATCTTGCTCTCTCCTGTCTTCCCTTTGAAGGAATCTGACAGTAAAAAGGAAACTGTAAGACTGCACTCACCTCTCCTCTACGGGGTTCTCCTCTGGCTCCAACTGCTTCCACTGGGAGCTCAGTCCTGGATTGAAGTCCACCACCTTGGGGCTTCTATACAGATGGTCCCTCTTCCCACTATTCACACAGCCACATCTCTTTAATGCAATTACAGTTTGATTCAATTATGGCAGCAATAAGATTTTTCTGATGACATAGAGAGTTTACCATGAGCAAAAGAGGTAATAAATTACTCTCAAGATAAAATTATTGTGGAAAGATATTATCATCTAGATTGTTTTGTTAGTTGCCATCTAGTTAGCTCCCAATCAGAGTGAACTTACATACAACAGAAGGAAATGTTGCCCAGTCTAGAAGGTCTAGATTAGATCTTGAATACTATGTCTATTGGCTTGGATATAGAATGGAAACTTTTAAAACAAAACGTTTGTCATCAAAATTAATTCTCATTACTGGCAAGTCGGCACAGCTTGACCAAGGCAAAGTCGTAGAAGCTTCATAGACACATCCAAACTCCCTGAGGGACCAAATTACTGGGCTGAGGGCTTGGGACCATGGTCTCAGGGGACATCCAGCTCAGTTGGCATAACATAGTTTATAAAGAAAATGTTCTACATCCTACTTTGGTGAGTAGCATCTAGGGTCTTAAAAGCTTTCGAGCAGCCATCTAAGATACATCTCTTGGTCCCACCCTGTCTGGAGCTAAGGAGAATGAAGAAAAGCAAAGACACAAGGGGAAGATTAGTCCAAAGGACTAGTGGAACACAGCTACCACAGCCTCCACCAGACTGAGTCCAGCACAACTAGATGGTGCCTGGCTACCACCACTGACTGCTCTGACAGGGATCACAAGAGGGTCCCAGACAGAGCTGGAGAAAAATATAGAACAAAATTCAAACTCACAAAAAAAGATCAGACTTACTGGTCTGACAGAGACTAGAGAAACCCAGAGAGTACTGCCCCCCAGACACCCTTTTAAGTCAGTATTGAAGTCACTCCTGAAGTTCACCCTTCAGCTAAAGATTAGAGAGGCATATAAAACAGCCAATAACACATGTAGTTCAACCATGTATATGAGACTAAATGGGCACATCAGCCCAAAAGCAAAGATGAGAAGGCAGGAAGCAACAGGAAAACTGGACAAATGGAAATGGGGAACCTGAGATCGATTAGGGGAGAGTGTTGACATATCGCAGGGTAGGCAGCCAATATCACAAAACAATTTGCCTATTAATTGTTTAACAAGAAACTAATTTCCTCTGTAAACTTTCACCTAAAGTATGATTAAAAAAAAAAAGAAAGATTATCGAAAACAATATGTCTTAGGCTGCGTTGTCTAGAGACGCAAAACCAGTAAAGCATATAAATATACATATAAAGAGACTTATATCAAGGAAGTGGCTCACATGGTTTTTAGAGACTGTAACATCCCAAGTCCACGGGGCAGGAAAAAGGCTTCTCCTGACTCATGCAGCCACAGGGGCTGGGTGAACCCAAAATCAGCAGGACAAAGAGCAGGGCTGTTGCTTACAGTCTGCGAAGATCGATGAATCTCAAGATTGCCAGGCAAGATCCACAGGCAAGCTGCCAGCTCAAGTCCCAAGAACCAGAGGCCAGACGAACAGCAGCCAGCTGCAGGATCCAGAACAAGCAAAAGCCCCAGCAAGGCCAGCAGGAAGAGCCAGGTGGCAGAGGGCAGAGAGATGAAGGCTGAGGGGCGCCGTGGGCTGCCATAGGCCCAGCCCCCACCCCTACCGGTACCACAGCAGATCCCATCATGGGGGTGATCACGTATCATATCTCAACAGGGAAGTGATCACAACATTATACAACTGCCAAAACACTGAGAATCATGGCCCAGCCAAATTGACACACAATCTTAAAACATCACACAATGTTTTCCCCTAGGTTACTAGAAAATAAAAATTTATTCTCATGAAAGAAGCTAGTTTGAAATACTTTTTGCCCACAAAAGTAAAACCTCATTTTTAGATCAAGGAAATAAATGAAAACTACTCAGAAGTCTTTCAAAAATCACACTTAGCAGTCAACAGTCACTTCTCCAAAAGGGCTTTTTCTCCAAAATTGTGAACATTCACTTTTAGAGGTTTGGTAAATAAACTCCCAAACTGTTTCCTGCCAATCAGTCAGGCAACGAAGGCTCTTGTTTTTTGTTGTTGTTGCTTTTTAAAATGACAGCATCAAAACTAAAAGGTCTGTATTGCTGTTGTTCTATGCCTTGAAGTCAATTCTGATTCATACCAATCCTATAAGGCAGAATAGAACGGCCCCATAGGGTTTTCTAGGCTGTAATCTTTACGGGAGCAGATCCCCAGGTCTTCTCTGTCATGGAGCTGCTGGTGGGTTCAAATCACAGACCTTTAGGTTAGCAGCCGAGTACCAACCACTGCAATACCACGGTTTCTTAAAGCATGTCTGTTGTTGTTGGATGACCTCCAGTCAATTCCAACTTATAGTGACGCCATGTGAAGGA